CATGGAACTATAAATAAATGTGTTGTCACTGTTCTCAGAGCAGATGTGGCTGTTTTCTTACAAAGCGCGTGGAGGCGGAGGCTGATATGGAGCAGGTGGAAGATTCCATAGCCTCGTCTCTTTGGCGGAGTTCGGCATAACTTCCCGTCTTTGTCACTTTTCATTGTTGTCTCACCTCCCATCTTGTTTGGATCAAACTAATCTTGTTTTCTCCTCTCAAAACAGCACTTTACCTCATTCCCTCTCTTAGGTTTTCAATTAATATTGTATACTAAAGCCTGATGCTGCTTCTGCATGTGCTGCCACCTATGTTATGCACAGTTGGTAACGCTGAAATTACTTTGTCTGAAGTTAAAAAAACTTCACCATCAGTAGCATTTAAAATATAATTCATTATAACAATATTCTGAGGGGGACTGTACTGTGACACTTTTGGTTAGATCAGATAAGGCTCTCATATCTAAAACTGGCTGTTTGTGATGGTGTTTTTGGTCTGTTCATCCGGTGTCTCCTCCCCTCCCCTTGTGTTTTGCTTCTTCCCTTCCAGCTGCAGTTCACACTGCATACCATAATTTGTTAGAATTTAAATCTGGTAAAATGACATTTTGTCCACATTAAAGGGAAACATGGAACATATTTAACAAAATACTAACTGACCTGTATGTAGTCTGATACGGAATTTATCCCTGGCAAATGTATGAAATGATGCAAAATGGCTCTATTTTATACCTATTAAAAATTGTCCTTCAGTTTTGGTGAATCCAGCAATTTTAACTTTCACTCTTACAGGGCAAAATAAATAAATATTCACTCTTTAGTTATAACCATGAGGATCTGTTATCCATAGATCTTGAAGGATGTCACCGGCGGGAAAAAAAAAACAAAAACCAAACGATTGTGGCCATAGACACCGTTATAATTTCTGTGACTCTGCTTTTATCTTGTATTTCTACTCAGAAGTACATGATATACATTACTCCAGTTCTTAAATCCTTACACTGGCTACCAGTTACCTACAGAAAACCTTTTAATGTGCTTCTGCTAGTTTCTAAATCGCTGAGTGGTATGGGACAAGAATATATTTCTGGGTCCTCATTTGTAAATCTGTGTGTCTTATAAATCACAATCAAATTCAGAACGTGCTCCGTTTGTTGAGCTGCATATTCTGCCCAAAACACTCCCATGATTAACCATATGTGGTTAATCCATAACATTCGTGAATATTGAAATACATAGTGTTCCTATGGAGACTGGAGGCAGCACTGTAAACAAAAGAGAGGCTACTTGCTGCAGAAGCTGTTAATAGAACGAACAAGATAATTCCCATATTAAGCAAAGTGCTGAGACCTACAGGTGGATGTCTTGGGCCGACCTGTGGAGACACAAACACAGAAACTTGTTGCTTGGTATTTGCTAAGCATGTTGGACGAGTTGTGTGGTACAGTGGAGCAGTGGTTGGTGCTGTTGCCTCATAGCACGAAGGTTCTGGGTTCGACCCCGGGCCAACCTTTGTGTGAATGTGTGTGGTTATTTGTATACATGTTAGTCCTGTGATGGACTGGCGACCTGCCTCTCACCCAGTGTCAGCTGGGATAGGCTCCAGCCCCCCCCCCGTGACCCTATTCAGGAATAAGCGGTGTAGATAATAGATGGATGGATGTTGGACAAGTACATAGCTGATCACACTGTCAACTTAAACACAGTATCTTGGGTTGGAACCAAACAGGGTGAAACTGCTTTTAGCTACTATGGTGCACACAGATGAAACCGACTTCCTGATGACCTTAAATGTGCCCCGACTCCAGCCACTTTCAAGTCTAAACTAAAAACTCTATTTTCCTGTGCCTTTGTTTGACTAGTTTTCATGCTACACCTTCTGCATTGTAACTGCTAGATAATCATCTTTCAGACCTTTTATGTTATCTTTGTTTCATTTTATGTATTTTATCTCATTTCAACAATGTTTTATCTTCATTTTGTCATAACATTTTATTCTGGTTTTAATGCAGCTAGTTTTCTTTGCCTATGTAAAGCATGTTGAATTGTCTCTCTATGAAATGTGCTATATAAATAGAACTGCCTTGCCATATGCAAAGCTTCTTTTGCTTCTTTGTGGCTGCAAGAAGAAAATATGTTTTGTTGTGCAGACGTGGTCAAGCAAAGGAAGTTAAACACCTTATATTTTTAGCCTTTATACATCTTTTTCATACTGCTTTTTCTGAAGCTTGGTTGCCAGTAGCTCTGTTTTTGAAAGAATACCAAATCGAATCTGTTTTATTAACCACATCCCAAGTGAAATCCTCATACTCTCAAAACTCACCCCCAACTGAGTGTAAATTAATCTAGTCTCTGTTTGTCTTGCCATCTTTTTTTCCCCTCAGTGAGTCAAGTATTTGTCAGGCTCGAGCCACTGTGATGATCGGGAAGAAGTGGCTGCCAGCCGGTTCTGGCCCCCAGACCTTCAGCCGAGTCCAGATCTATCACAACCCCTCCAACAATGCCTTCAGGATAGTAGGACGCAAGATGCAGACAGACCAGCAGGTACATCTCATGACTTTGGATGTGCTGCATGTCTTTGCCTCTGGAAGTGTGATGGTTGTGCATTTCATTCATCTGTGTTTGTCATATGGCCTGTGCGCATCTGTGGTCTTTTAAGGATGTGTGTATATATAAGTGTGGGACAGTATGTCTTTGTATGTGCCCATTCGTTCACATTATCACTATCTATCTGATACCAGACACCAGGCCTGGGTGGTGAGAGACTATTTGTGTACTATGTGTATACTGTGGTTGTTTTGTTGGAGATGGCTAAAGAGGCATTACTGTCATTCGCTTTGGAATTGTATTGCTTTTTAAATGCGTTCATTTTGTCAGCTGTTTACTTTAAGGCATAGATGACAACATGGACTGTGTACCAGCAAGACACTGAGTTTCCTGCCTCTGCTATTACAATGAACTGGTGACCTGCTGAGCTGTTAGAACAGAGTTCACATTTTTTACCAGCACAGGCCAAGAGCGTGTTGTCTTTACTGATTTATTTGATGTCTTTTAATCATGACTTCCTGTTCTAGAGTAATGTTAACAGAACAGAAAGCTGTTGACTCTTAACTTAAGGGACTGTAAAACGTGACGGCCATCCTCAGGTTTT